GTGTACGATTGTCTAGCGCCTGCCGCACGAAACAGAAGGTGCTGCAGGGTCTTAGTAGCGAGCTCCAAATCCGCCTCCTCCAGCGGTTGTGGTTGGGAGCCGAGTATCCTTGCGAGGATCAAGTTGTAGGTGTCCGAGGCCACCAGGACATGGTTATCGTCGGGTGCCATCCCCACGAGTCGTGTCCACGGTCGCGGGTCGAAGACCACCGCATCCGGGTTGGCAACCTGGTCCTTTTTGACCCATTCCAGGCAGCACGCCACGAGGATTTCCCCGTCCGACTGCACTGGTGCAAAACCAAGGTCATGCAAAATCAACTGGACCGCGGTTGGGACCCCTAGGAAGGTCGTTCCAAACGGGGAAGGGAGGCGGGGCCTCCACATCATCATGATCCACTCGAGCCCGGAGCCAAATCTCAGGGCGCCTTGCACGCACTTCAAAAGAGAGACCCGGGAAAAGGCCCCGGGGGGCCCCAAGTCCTCTTCCGGGTCTCTCTTTCACTCACTGCATGCGGCAGATCGCTTCTTGGACGGGTCCGGGGTCTTTTCGCGAAGCCGGACGTTGGAGGCCCACATCCACTCCGGAAAGTGAAACCCGGGCGGCCTCAAAAACCCCGGAAAGCCAAACCCGAAAACGGGGGGGGGGGGACCCAGGGGAGCCTCCACGGAAAGGGAAAACCAAACGAGGGGGGGGGGGGGAGCTCAGGCGCACTCCGGACCAGCCCAAGCGCGCCCCTTTTTCTCGCCTGGTGCAGGCCAAGGCCTGTGCTGTGCCCGGGGGGGATATCAGCGCCATCGGCAGCTGTCCTCCCCCGGGGTGCCCTGCAATTCCGTTCCGGATGGCCGCAGTGTTGCATGATCACACGGCCCCCTTGGCAATGTCGTCAATGCGCTTGAGCGCCGCCGCCTCCGGGTTCCGGAGAATCAGCTCCCAGATGGCATCTGTAACATGGCCGGTCTGGGTGACGTGGCTGAACCTAAACCGTGGGACTTTCTGGTCCACCACGGAGACATCCCGCAGCGGGGCAGACGGCTCTACCCGGCGGTAGAACTCCAGCCGTTCCTTGACCCAGCGGGTGTACAGTCCATCGGGCGGCTCGTCCAGCACCAGCTGAAGGATGGCCTTGCCGGCCCGGATCTGGAGGAGGCGAGTGCCCCCTCCCCCGGCGCGCCAGTGCCCCTTGCAGTACTTGCACATATAGCCCCCCCGGGTCTCCCCCTTCGTCTTGGGGATGAGCTCCCATGGGGTGACTGAGCTCAGAACCAGGCCGCACTCCATGTGCGCCCAGAAGACGTGCTTCGTCTCTGCCGAGAAGTTCTTCTTCTTGTAATCCTTGCCCACCACGCCGTGGACGTTGTCCGATGTGATGGGGGGGTAGACGATCCCCTCATCGCCCTCTCCTCCCCTGGGGCGGATGTCAGGGCCATCGGCACCTGTCCGGCACCCGGGGCGGAGGGGTCCAGGCCCATCAGCTTGATCATGTCGTTGGTGTAGCCAAGCTTGCGGTAGATGGAGGGGGCCACTGAGTCGGGGACTGCGCCGACCCACCACTGCTTCGTGTTGCAGCGCCAGTTGACTTTCACCTCCGCCAGGGCCCCCGGGCCTCCAATGCGGTCCATGAGGGCCTGGTACACCTCTGGGAACTGCTGGAGACTCTCCACCGGGACCGATATGCGCTCATCACATACCGCCCGGAGGATCATCTGTTCCTTGGAGTCCGCCACGTCCTGGACCGGGAGCTGCATTACCTCCGCCGGGGTGTCCGTGAGGAAGGCCCGGGCCGCAAGGACCTTGCCCATGGCCCGGTAGACCAGGCGCCACTCCGGTCCTGTCTGCGGAAGCGGAAGGCCCTCCTCCTTCAGGAAGCACCGAGCATCTTCCTTCAGGGTCTCCCAGCCTTCCAGGCGGATCTGATTCTGGGCCTTGTTCTTCGGGCCCCGCTGCCTAGGGCCCTGAAGCAATGGCAGAGACTCCCAGACTCCCCAGAGCTGGCGCAGAGTGAAGCTGTGACCAAACATCCCCAGCAAGCCTGGGAGTGTCCAGGACGAGATCTGGCGCGTCCAGTGGAAGTCCTCCTCCGGATCGTGGGGGGCCGCCCAGAAGATGGATCGCAGGTCCTCGGGGTATGGTCGGTCCCCCGCCTTGGCCTGCTGGTTCAGCTCCTCAACGGAGTACCTGGCCCATGGGAGTCCACCCGCCTGGTGGTTCCTGGGATGCGTACCCTTTTCCAGCGCCTCCGGATTCACCTTGGTGAGGTTGTTGGCCCAGTCCGGGACGTGTAAGGGCCCCGGTCGTCGGACCCAGCGGCCCGCAAAGATGCGGACCTCTCCGACACGCTTGCTCATCATCCAGCGCAGGACCGCGAGCTGCACCTCCGGGTCCTGGGTGTCCAGGCCCCCCGGGGTGGCGGACGGCTTGTCAGGGCCCTCGGCACCTGAGCTCGTCGCACCAGAGCCCGAAGCTGGGGGGATGGTGGGCTGCCTGTCAGGGCCCTCGGCACCTGGGCGCGCCGCACCAGAGCCCCCCGCCTTTGGAATGGGGATCCCCGCCAGATCCGGCAGATCTGCCAGGAGGGCCCCCGGAAAGGGGTTCCTACCCAGCGAGATGACCGCCTTGGCTTCGAGGTAAGAGTCCGTGAGGGACGTGAGGTCGTCCATGCTGAAATCCCTCCATGCCGTGGTCGGCTCAAAGACCCCTGTCTCAATGGCAACTCGGACCTCGCTAGGCCACGCACTGAATGGAGGCTTGATGGGCTCGAGCATTCTGGTCTCGAGGGCGCCCTTCGCTTGTCTGGCCTGGTGCTTTGCCTTCGCCTCTTCCGCAGTGGTCTGGGTTTGGAGGAGCTCCGGTGTGGGCCTCCCCCAGTCCGCGCCCAGCTTATCCAGCAGTTTCTCGCGGAAAAGGTCCAAGTCCAAATTCTTGAGGAGTTGTCCCCCATCGCCTCCTCCATCGATGGCCCCTCCTTGGAGCTCGTGGAGGACCGCCGCAGATCGCTCCACCGCTGCCACCTGGTCTGCCTTCTTTGCCTCTTCCTGGGCGATGGTGGTGGCGTTGAGCCGGGTCTGGATTTTGAAGGCCTTCACTGCCGACGGGTGGAAGGCCCTGCACTCCTGGCCCTCTTCCTTGTCGCCCGGCAACGGGGGCCTTTCCCCCATTGGGGCCGTCAGGAAATCCTCGTCCAGCTCCATGGGGCAGTTCCTGATCACCGCCCGGACCGAGGAGGGGACAAAATCCGAGAAGCTGGCCTGGTCCAGGTTTTCGCATGCCATTGGGTCGGTGGCCAGCTCGCTGACATCCACCGAGGCGCTGAGCTTGAGGTCGCGGGCCCGGTCCGTGTCAGGGCCATCGGCACCTGCGGACCGGGCCGCCGTCCAGACCGCATTGCCCTGGTCATCCACTGTCAGCTGCCAGTGCGTGCCCGCCATTTCCAGGGTGGCCAAGTTGGACGCCGTGTCGATGGGCTCCGTCTTTTTGCCGCACCCCATACACTTCCTGGCGCCCTTCTTCACCCAGGGCATGGTGCAGCAGGGGCAGATCCAGGATGTGGGCTCCTTACCCAGGGGGCGGTTCTCAAGGCCCCCATACCCCAGGCCAGCGCGCTTGCCAACCTTCTGTCCCGGGGTGCTGAGCAGGGCCTCATGCTCATACTTCATCTTGGCGATGTAGAACGCCTCCACCACGCGCTCCAGGCCCCCCTGCTTGAGTTGGGGGCCCTCAAAGCCTCTCAAGAGCCGCTGGACATCCTTGGCCTGCAGTCGTCGGAGCCTGGCGGCCGTGGTCCCATCAAAACACGGGAAGTCGCCCGCCATCTGGTCCGCACTGAATTGGTAAAGGCCCTCAGAGACTTTGAGGGCCTTGGTGAAGACGCTTCCCCCTGGCGGGGGGGCTGCGGGGTCCTCATCCCCCTCCGAGGACACCTGCGCCCTGGCCTTTTCCATAAGGTCCTGGCGTCCCTGCCACTTGGTGTCGGACATCGGGGGGTCCACCTCATCTTCCGCCAGGGGTTCCTCCATCGGGGGCTCCTCCTCGTCTTCCGCCAGGAGTTCCTCCATGGGAACATCCGGCTCTGGAGGGTCGAGAAGCTCCAGGAACGCCCCTGGGGGGCGTGTCAGGGCCTTCGGCACCTGCGCCACCCCAGGGGGGGAGTCCGCCATCAGCTCGTCCTCGGCCTTACGCTTGGCTGGGATGAGTGGGGCTTGCTCCAGCTCGTCGGCGCTGGAGAAGAACCGTTCGTCCGGTGCCTGAGGGACCTCAGCCGCCAGGACGGTCCAACCTTCTTCCTCCTTTTTCACAAGGCTTGCCAGGTACTTCGCCATGGATGCCTTCGCCTTCGCCTTAGCCTCTGCAACCGCGGCACCAGCATAGGCGGGGGTGTACATGGCTTTGATAGGAGGGGAATGAGAAATTTCAGATTCCAAGACAAAAGGGAAGTGTCCACTTGAGCCAAAATGGTGGCCCAAGTGGATACTTACAAAGAGTCAAGACAAGCGACCACCTACGGTTAACACTTTAGCCCATCTCTCTCTCTCTCTCTCTCTCTTTCTCGCTCTCTCCCTGCACCGCCATCCCCCTTCCGGGCATATCAGCGGCCAAAGAATTGCTGGCTGTACTCCCCATCACTGAGTTTCACAGTTTGGTTTTCAAGCAACCCCGCAATCCCAGAACTACTCCAAACATACATATGTGTCCTTTTCAGCAAAATAGATGGCCCTGGCAGTTGATTGAACCACCAGGCAAACCAGGCCCTCTAGTTTTAACCCAAATCAACCAAAAAGGACACCTATGACACCTATGTACCTCTCCACCCCTCTACTACCTTCATTCTTTTCCCATCAAAGTCACCCCCGGAGTGGTGGCTTGAAGGGAAACAACCCCAAATCAACCAACAAAGGACACCTATGTCTAGAAGGTTTTGGATCACACCAAAAAAAGCCGCCCTTTTCAAGTTGAATGGCGCAATCCCATGAACGCCGTCCAGCCAAATGATGCCAAATGGACACCAGCGCCAACTCCAGGGCCCCTGTGGATCCCGTGGATCCGAGCCGCTTCTCCGCCACCTCCGAGGCCTCCGTCGCCGAGCCGGACCTTCCGTTCCTCGCGGCCCGGCCGGCGGAAGGCGATCCGCCGGCTTCGAGGGGGCTGGGTAGCGCCTGACTTTGGACAGGCTGTGGCGAAGAGAAAAATCTCGGAACCAAAATGGCGATTTGGGTGTGGCTCAAACTTGACCAGGGGCAAACCGCAGGTTTTGGTCCATGTTTTTCCACTTACCGATCGGGTTTTTTGAGACGCAGCCATTTGGCAAATGGAACCCAAGAGTAAAACCTGCGTAACCGCTGCTGTTTAATTTTGAGCCACACCGAGTAAAACACGAGCTGGTTCAAGGGCCCTTGGGGGGGTTGCTCTGGCTTCCCATTGGAAGCTTCTCTGAGCGAAGGGTCTCTCAGCATGCCCTGCGGCAGCGCAAGCAAGAAACTCTTTAAGGGCCTGTAAATTGCAGGAGTCTCTTTGTGTTGAGGCTATGCTTTTTGGCATTGCTTCATTTGGGGGAGCCATTCAGATAGCTGTTCAGGCTGCCCTTTTGAAGTGTGCCTCAAATCCAAAAGGCTGGCTGGTGGTGCTCAGGGGTGGGTCCCCCAAAAGCAAACCATCATCCGTCCCAGAGACGTCCCACCCACCCCTGCGGCTGAAACTCGTCTTGGACAGCCCCAAAGGCTCCGCCCTGCTCGCATCGGAGGGCGCTCCCATCATCTCCTGTGCGAATCGTTTGGCTGGGGGTCAGACCGGGTTTGCAAACCGGGAAGGCCAGGAAAGGACAGCGAGCGGAAACGCGGGGAACGCAGGAAACACAGGGAAGGACAGCCAGCATCAAACGGCCGGGGGCCGAAAGCCCAAAAGTTTGCTTGGCTTGTTGGTGTAGTGTACGGGTTCTTTTTGGGGGGGGAATCTGGGAACACCAAGAATTGGCGCGTTTTTGGAAAGCGACTGTGAGGAGTGGAAAGGAAATCACTTCACCCAGTTGGCCCATTAGCTTTTCGGATGGATGGCCCAAACCTGAAAGGCTCAGGGAGGAAGCTATTGAGGGTATTGTTAGGTTTGCTTGGGGGAAGCCTAAGAAAAACCACCAAAAGCTAAAAGCTGGCAATTTGCATCACCTCGATTGCCTAGGCCGTGACCAGCTCTGGCTTCTTTCGTTTAGTGCACACGCGGGTCGACCCACAAGGCCATGCGAGAAAAATCTGAAGGACCAGATTTAGGTCTCGGCTCTCCGGATGGACCAGGCGAGGCTAACTGGAATTGTGCTCGCTCCCCCACCGTGCTGGAGGTTTGCCTGATCATCCAATTTGGTCCTGCTAGCAAGTGAGAGGAACATTAACCGAGCCGCCATGTGTCAAGGACATTTGCGCGCCCTCATGCGGGAGACAAAGAGTCTAGGTCCTCCAGTAGAGAGGTTAGCATAAGGGTACCCGATTGTTTTCTGTAGTCTATGTTAGTAGGGGACCCCTCCCAACCAAAGGGGAGAGAAGGGCACTACTGGGGGACCTAGGAGTGCGAGCTCCACTACAGCTGTGCTCCTCTTCCAAGGGCGACGCGTAGTCCGCATCACTGTCCGCCTCCAGGCGTTTGCTCGCCCCCAGCTCCAGCCTGACGCTTCAGTTCCGTTGGCTTTGACGTTGGAAGGGGAATTGCCCACACCGGCATAAGCAAAAATGTAAAATGCTTCGAGACGCTTTGGCCTGCGCCCCACGCCGGGGAGTCCTGAGGGCGGAGAGCCAGCCCTTCCATCCCTTTCTGTGGCTCCCTCTGGGAGATCAGGGCAAGGCATGCTAGGTCCTCCAGTATAGAGGTTACAATAAGTTGGTACCGCTTGCTTTTTTTCAGGGCGTCTAATTTTTTGTAGGGGGCAAACCCCCTCCCAACCCCAAAAAAGTGGGCGAAAAAAGCGGGCACCAATGGCTGAAAGACAGAGCCTGGGCTTCAGCAACGCGTTTTTGCGAGCCGAGGCAGACCGCCGGATCCTAAGCGGACCCCGCCCAGCAGTACCGACCAGCCATGGATGAAGCCATCTTTTGGAATATATCGAGATTCTCCACCTAACTGGCGCAGCTTCTTCCACGGAATCAATCAAAAATCCAATGCTGCCGACATGTACTTCAAATAGACCGAAAGCAACTATCCTGATATGTCCATTGGGTCACACTACCGACACGAGGTCTTTTCAAAAGCAATGCCCCCTGCCCCATCCCGCAATCCGGCCTCTCGAGGGTGGCCAAGACCTGCACTCGGCGCACTCGAGGGCCCAAAGCATCCCGGCAAGGTGCGGCTCCCCGCTGGCCCGACCGACCCCTAGCCCCCAAAGACGGACCTGCTTCGAGACCCCTTTGGAGGGGTGCACCATTGGGACACCAAACGAAACATATGGCACGGCCTGCTTTAGGGCGAAGATTAACTCCCAGAGGGACAAACAAACAAGGATTTAGCATCTTGAATCAGCACCCTGCT